GAATAATACGTCCTAAAATGATGTGAAAACAACTGAAGGGAAAAGGGAATTTCACTGTTACCATGTGGAAGAGAGATCTTGCTGGTGGTTGCCGCTTGTTCATTTTCTTTTTCCTGAAAACTCGCACCGTAAAAGAGGGATTCCTGCTTCTCATATTAAAGTTGGGTGAGGGGGAATGTTAAGTGATATTATCCCATATTTGTTCTATGGTCTTATAGTAAAGTTGGACCCCCACCTACAGACAATTGATATACGATTGGATGCTTAAAAGTCCTAAAGGCAAAAATTGACATTTAGGTTTTGATTGCTTTCGACGGGTATACGTCTCTCTGAAGTTAAACTCTTCTTTTTTTCATAACAGTTTATGGATTCATTATTTATTTTTTTGCCAAATTTGATTTGGATATTGAAGGAAGGAGATAACTCGAGGGTTATGGTAGAGAATTAACTTCTCATCATGCTGCCTTATAAGAAAAAGAATTTGTGAAAAATAATACTAACCTATGCTTTTCAAGTTAGAATTATTTAACTGATGTGGTCCAGTATGTGTCACATTTAATTATTTAGGCTGTTTTTAGCTTCAGAGTCCATCAAACAACTGTCTACCAGAATTATGCCTTAGATCAGTGGTGGATTTCGAGTCTATTTGGATGGTTCCAGCCCACAATATCTGGAAAGTTCGTCAAGGGTATGAATTCTATTTTGTTTGCATCATTTAGGTTACTAATTAGTAAGACTTAGTATAGCATAAAGTCTGCCAATTTTTCATCATATTAATGATGACTTTCTATATTATTAGGGATATCAGTTCGGTCTTCTTTCTCCCTTGATTTTTCAAAGTTTTGCATTATATTTCTCACTTAACAGAATAAATCTTGTAAAATTAAGTCAAATAACAATTTCAGTGCCCAATGAAAACACATGGATGGATGTTGATCTAGCTGGCTACGCACTAATGTGCAGATGTCTCAACTAAGCTATGTAACAAATGTAACTTAACCTTTTTACTTCAATTCTAGTTTATCTTTTGAGGTTAGAAATGTTGAAGAAAATTAATGAATTTCTACTTCAGATTTCTTTTGAACTTCAGAAAAAGGTTAAATGGCTTATAGATTGGGTATGTTTTAGATATAAAACTTATTGATTTAGAGTTCAGGAGTTGATAAATCTGTTTGTGTATTTAAACATGTGATACATTATACCTGTAAGCGTTCGCAACTGCGAGTATTTCATTCTCTGTTTGTGCTTAAGCTTTATCTTAGACTTTTTTTTCAATTTAATCTTGGTGAATTTTGTATGCACTAAAAACATATTTCTCCGTGCCAAAAATTGACTTTCATTGCACAACAATTGACTCCGCGTAGATAATCAGAATACTTGAAAGACAAGTAGCTAAAAGGGCTAAGGGTGTTAAGACAGTTCTTTTTTGTTGTTGATGTTTTAGTATTCTCACTCTTGATGAATTAGTATCCCTGAATATGATCGAGCATATTCTGGTCTGTAGTGCTTTCTACTACCCTAAAGGAATGTCCATAAGCAGAATCATTAGTTTGTTTAGGGCTTGTCATATTACTTTTTTAAAGGCATGTTTAGTCACTCTATCCTTTTTGTCTTAAAAAACAGGTTATTTCTTCTTGGTTTGGAAAAATATGGTAAAGGTGACTGGCGAAGCATATCTCGGAACTTTGTGGTCACGAGAACACCAACACAAGTTGCAAGTCATGCACAAAAATATTTCATTCGATTGAACTCCATGAACAAAGATAGGAGGCGATCTAGCATCCATGATATTACCAGTGTAGGCAACGGAGACATTTCAGTACCCCAAGGACCTATCACTGGTCAACCAAATGGTGCAGCAGTCGGAGTTTCATCGGGAAAGTCAGCCAAACAGCCATCTCGACATCCCGCTTCACCATCTGCTGTTGGCATGTATGGTACTCCAACTATAGGGCAACCAGTAGGAGGTCCCCCTGTCTCTGCAGTTGGCAGGCCAGTCAATCTTCCTGCCTCGGCACATATGGGTTACGGAATCACAGTTCCTGGTGCACCGATGAACATGAGTCCTGAAACATACCCAATGCCGCATACAACTGCTCATAGGTAATACGATGTTTAGCTGCCAAATAGATAAAGGATAGAAGCCTCGCTTGTGCGGATATTGGGTTACTGGATTTTCCATTTTAGCCTGAATAAGATATGCTTATTTGCAAGCATAAGTTGTATCTGTAACCTGTTTAATCTCTAAATAAGCCATAGGGAGAGAATTTACATGTATCTATATGTAGGCAGATGTTAAATGTGGCAGATTGTATAGCATAAGCTGTAAAACGAAACCCCATATATATTTCGCTAATAAGAGAAGCATGTATATGCGAGTGTATCTATATATATACACACACACACAAGAATATCAGGACAATGAGCTTTTTCAGTTATGGGTTTCTGTTTATAGTTGAAATTTTAATGAAAAGTTACATCTTTACTTGGAAATCAACAACTTTATTGAATTAGTTCAAAGATTTAGGATTTAGGGTCCGTTTGTTTCACGTAAAACGTTTTTCGGAAAATATTTTCCTCATTTTTCAGTGTTTGGTTAGAGGAAAATTGGTTGGTCAACGTAAAACATTTTGCTGGTCAACAAATTTTTTTTTGTGTTTTCTAGAAAATAACTTACGGTCTATTTTCCGTAAGTCATTTTCCGAACTTTTCACTTCAAAGAACAAATACTCAAAATAATTTTATTTTATGAATTTAATATTAATAAAATATTTTAATATCATTTTAATCAAAATATTAATTAAAATATTTAAAATATATTTATTAATATTTCTAATATATATATTATATTTTTAATATTATAATAAAATAATAAATATATTATAATAATACAAGATATTATATTTTTATTTTAATAACATATAATAAATTATTAATAAAATTTATATTATTTATTAATTTCATATAAATAATATTATTAAATTATTAATAATGAATAATATTATTTATATATTTAATATTAATATAATAATCTAATAATATTTTAATAAAGATATTTAAAATATACTAATTAATATTTTTTAAAATATAATATAACACTATTACTATAATAAATAATTAATATAATTTATAATATTTTTATTTAAATAAAATATACCAATATTAATATTTTTATTAATAAAATTATAAAAATAATAAATAAATAATAAATAAATAAATTATTTTAATATTTTAAAAATAATAATATTAAGTTTTATGATAAATAATATTATTTATTGTATTTAATATTTGTAATAAATAATTTTTAAAAAATTCATCAACTAGTGGGAAAAGGGTTTAAACATCTTCCAAACGTTTTCCAAAAAATGTTTTTTAGAAAATATAATTCATTTTACGGAAAATATTTTCAATGAAACAAACAGACCTTCAGATTCCTAGTGCCATAATGCCATGTGGAGAATGGCCCTGATGTGCAAGTTTTTTTATTATTAATTTGAGGTAAGTACAATACAATATATGTCCAAAAATAACCCTCAACCATTTGATATTGAACGTCCACACCCTTAGGTATTTTTGGTCTTCGAACCCGAGGCTTCAAAGAATAAAAACAATTTATTTACCACTGAGGTCGCTCGGATCGTGCAGCAATTTTAATGTTGCAAAGAGCATCAAAATACAAAAGCCATCCCATGGTACGTTTTCCTTGAATTCCCTTCATTTTTGTGTTGCTTTTATTTTTAAGCAAAAGCTTTATATTATCATACACTTGGTTGTGCTGGCATTGGAAAAGCAGGAGAGGTGAGGCTGAAAACTCTTTAATCTGCATGGCCTACTGCCCATTCCCACCTCAAGTTTCAAATTAAAGAATGTTTAGTTGTATTCCAGTTAAGCATATGAACATGCCTTTTCTTTGACCAATGAACCTAGTTCATCCCTTTCTACGGACGTAAGTTTTTATGTTAGGAGACGGACTTATAAAATTTTAAGTGGATGGACTTGTAAAATTCCGGAGAGGTGAAAATAAATTATCAAAAAAAAATACAAAAAAAAACACCTAAATTATATGATAATTTAAATTTTTTAGAGAAACGAATGCCCTCGCCAACCCCACTTTGATCCATCCCTACCCTTTTCCTAAACAGTCGTTTCCTTACATTTAGAAATTAGAAAGCTGAATGAATTGGCTTTTAGTTAAGTTGGTTCATTTGATCACTACAAAGAGAAAAACAAATGAATGATTGCTTACCAGTTTTTTAGTATTAAAAAGTATTGCGGAAGTGATATGAACCGCCAACACTTGAAATTTCTTAAACAAAGGGTATATAAAACACTGGTCATGGGCATGCATGGCATTATATGAAAGTTGCACCTTGCATGCATTATCGTGTCTTTTAGTATGCGATTTGCGTTGGTTGAGTTGAATCGTTCCTTGCTTTTTTTCTTTCTTGGTATCTTAGCATCAAAGGAGTGGCAGACACCACAAAGCTACAATGCCAACTCAGAAAGCTTCAAAACCACATCTTGGAGAAAAAGTAACTTTAAAAGGTTGTCTCAACCATACAGGGTATTGTTTTTTTTTTCTTGAAATGCTTTTTCCCATAGATTTCCTGGAAAGTTGGTTAATTTAAACCAAATTAAAATAGTTCCTTGCTTCTTCTTCAATCTTACAGGTGGTTTGACAGCTTCTAATAGCTTGATTCTACTATAGATGTTTTCTAGCTATTCCTGTTCGATACATTGAGCATATGAATAGAAAGAAAGCTGAACATACTCGTATCGAATATATTTGTATCAGACCACGTTGGAGGATTTCATTAAGAATTTGAAACATTTTCATAAAAGAAACCAAATCTTCTTATAACCTTTTTTCTTTTAAATTTTATCTTTTGGAAGTGATGAGCTATTGGTGACTCATGCAGCAAAAAAGTTGGATTCAACTTCCACAGCCGAATGCCCCTTTAAATACATGCCATTTACCAGAAAACACGATTCACCGCAACTTGAAGAAACATTCAGTTCAACAGCTTGTTGCCATTGAATTCCATTTCATTCATTGAAAAAAAAGACCATGAATCAGTTGCTTCAACAAGTTATTGGAGTTCCAATCAAAGCAGAAACATATGAAGTTGAGAGAACATCAAAGCTTTGCTTACCTGATGCTACTGGCCAATACCACATTTCATCACAAGGCTCTATAAAAAGTAGGTCTCCCCTTTCAAGCCTTACTTATGGTAGCTATGGGAAATTCATGGTAAAGTTGTTTCTTTTTCTAATGGGAAAGTGTTTGAAATTGCAGGTAAAGGAAACTTTGTACTTCAAAGGATGAACTTGCTGGGGAAGAAAGCAGACACTTTCGCCCATGGAGTCCGAGAGCATGGTATGAACAATTGAAACACTTATGAATTAATGTCTCGAGATTACTGTGAAAATGAAAAGCTAAAGTTTTTACATTTTGAAACTGCAGTGAGATTGGGGCCAAAGATAAGTGAAACAGTGAAGGGAAAGTTGAGTTTGGGGGCAAGGATTCTTCAAGTAGGAGGCTTGGAGAAGATTTTCAAGCAATTATTTAGTTTCACAGAAGGAGAGAAGCTGTTGAAGGCTTGCCAATGTTATTTATCAACAACAGCAGGCCCTATTGCCGGTGTACTTTTCATTTCCTCTAAAAAAGTTGCCTTTTGCAGTGACAGATCAATCAAAATCCCGTGTGGAAATGGAGAATTCCTCAAAATCCATTACAAGGTTTTGATTCCACTAGAGAAAATGAAAGGGGTTAACCAAAGTGAAAACATGAAGAAACCATCTCAAAAGTATATGGAAATTGTTACAGTTGATGGTTTTGATATCTGGTTCATGGGATTCTTGAATTACAAGAAAGCTTTCAAGTATCTTCAACAAGTAATCTCACAGAGACTATATGATGTAGAAGTCACTTTCTAGGTGGCTTTAAGAAATGTTTTCATCAGATTGTTTTGTTGATGAAATGAGGAAAAAGGTAATCAGTAAATCACTCTTGCAAATGTACAAAAAAAATTGTTCTAAATTTAATTTATGTATCTATATATGCAACTGTGGAAATTGTGATGAATATACATTCTTACTTGGAAATCTACCTCTAAAAATGGGCTAGAAGTGCAGCAGCAGCATCTGTAACTTTTGTTTTACAATACTGTTAGCACCAAAGCTGTCATTTACAATGGCATGTTAAAAACCATTAATTGCAAAAACAATTTCTCTTCCTAGGGACATGTTAGACACCTGGTACTCATTAGATTGAGTGAGGAGATATTAAACTTGAGCGTCGAGACTTGATGCTCAAGTGGTCATATTGGTTCAATTGGCATTGCTGGGAAAGTTGTTAATGCACTTATGAAGCAATGAACAGATCCACTCCAGATTCGGATTGAAGACAACAAAGATGATAAGAATGTGTATAAAAGGTTCTGAAGAACCGAACGTGGAAACCCATTTTTCACCGTGTCTATGAAAATTTCTCATACAACTTATGGTAATATGAGCTACAGGAGAAATTGCAGGCATCACCTAAATGCAGTCCAAGGATAAACTGCTATTTGTCATATATATACACACATACAAAGAGACCACATTTTGAAGATAAAAGAACGGATTAAAACTCGTAAGATTCAAACCCCGGATTTATTAGAAGTTACTTCTTAAAGATAATTGCATGAACTGGCTGAACTCAACCTCAGATTATAATGCAAGTTGCATGTATTATCATATGCTTTAGTATGCAAATTGTGTTGGTTGATGTGAATCTTTCCCTAGCAGCAAAGGATTGTTAGACATCACAAAGCAACATTGTCGAATCAGAAAGTTTCAAAGCCACATCTTCTTAGAGTCGGCAAAAAGAGAAAAGAAAGGCTATTTAAAAGGTTGTCTCAACTATACATAGTATTGTTTTATTTTTGCTCTGCACTTCTCATTCGCAAAGAATATGCTTTTCCCTTAGATTTCCTGGAAAGTTAATTTAAGCCAAATAAAATTAGTTCCTTTGCTTCTCCTTTGATCTTTCAGGAGGTTTGACAGTTTATAATAGCTTGCCTTTGTACTATGGTGTTTTCTAGCTCTTCTTGTTCGATATATTTTGGATATGAATATAAATAATGTTGAATATATCCATATTGGATCTTTCAACACCAGTCACCAAACCCTGATGAAGTCATTCATCAGTTGAGGAACCTGGAATTGCAAACTTTCATTGCATACGCACGTATTAGTCAGATCATGATGACTTATGGACGAGCTAGAAAGTGAGTTTTGCATCATCTAGTACGTATTATTTCATTCGATTGAACTCCATGAACAAAGATAGGTGGTGATCCTGCATCCATAATATTACCAGTTTTGGCAATGGGAACATTGCAGCACCCCAGGACCGATCACTGGTCAATCAAATGGTGCAGCAGCCGGAGGTTCATCAGGAAAAACAGTCAAACAGCCCTCTCAATATCCCACTTCACCGCCTTCTGTTGGCATGTACGGTGCTCCAACTATCGGGCACCAATAGGAGGTCCTCTTGTCCAAATTGGGTTACCGGGTCTTCCTTTTTAGCTTGAATAAGATATGCTTACTTGCAAGCACAAGTTGCATGTATTATCACTTGTTAAAGATAATTTCATGAATCGACTGAACTCGACCTCAGATTTTCATTACGGTGCAAGTTGCATGTATTATCATATCTTTTAGTATGCAATTTGTGTTGGTTGAGGTGAATATTTCCTTGCTATTTCTTTCTCAATATCTTATCAGCAAAGAGGTGGCAGACACCAGAAAGCTACAATGCCAACTCAGAAAGTTTCAAAACTACATCTTAGAGAAAAAGTAACTCTAAAATGTTGTCTCAAATATACAGGGTGTTTACTATGGATGTTTTCTAGATATTCGTGTTCGATATATGTTAGATACATTTCGGATATGAACATAAAGAAAGTTGAATATACTCGTGTCGGACATATTTGTATCGGACCACTTTAACATGTTGGGGAACTTTCATTAAGAACGATTATGAACCTTTCCATTTCCCACAACATCCTTTTTTCCCTTTTAAATTTCATCTTTTGGAAGTGGTAAGCTATTGGTGACTCATGCAAGGAAAAAGTTAGATTTAACTTCAACATCTACACCCCCTTTAAATACACACCATTTGTCAAAACACCAGATTCATCACAACCTGAAGAAACATCGAATTCAACAGCTTGTTGCCATTGAATTCCATTTCATTCATAAAAAAAAGAACAATGAAGAATCAGCTGCTTGAACAAGTTATTGGAGTTCCGATCAACAGAGCATCATATGCAGTCGAGAGAACATCAAGGCTATGGTTACCTGATGCATCTGGCCAATGCCTCATTTCATCACAAGGCTCTATAAAAAGTAGGTCTCCCCTTTAAGCCTTACAAATGGTAGCTATGGGAAATTCATGGTGAAGTCGTTTCCTTTTCTAAAGGGAAAGTGTTTGAAATTGCAGGTAAAGGGAACTTTGTACTCAAAAGGATGAACTTGCCTTTTCTAAAGGGAAAGTGTTTTGAGATTCATCAGATTGTTTTGCTGATGAAATGAGGAAAAGGGTAATCAGTAAATCACTCTTGCAAATGTAAAAAAAGTTGTTCTAAATCGAATATATCATTCTTAATCGAACATGGAGTATTTAAAGGCGAGTTCATTCACCAGTCTCTATCCAATTACAAGCTTTGTGAGTCAATGAACTGTAGGCTTTTCCTTTCTGGAAAGAACAAATTGAAAGAATGTGGTTATGGTCAGTGCTTCAATGTACTTATGAATGTTTGCCACAAGTGAGCACACAGCCCTCCAAAAACTGGCTGAGCTGACTTGTATACAGATTTGGGTCATTTCTAAAATGATCAACATGTGGTGTCGAGACAAAGTTGCACGCCCGAACTTCACGCCCCGATCTCTTTTGCTTCTCCATGAACGATTCCACGGAATCTGCAGGGATGACTCTATCTGCAGAGCTGTAAATATATAGTTGTGGGCAGGTAGGTTGTCCGTATGACAGCAGTCCCAGCACATCAGAAAGCCTCCTGCAAGGTGATACGAGATCAAGTTAAGCTGGGTTTAATGGACATCGGGATTACTTCCGGTTGCAATCGTAAATCACATTGGAGAATGCATTAAAGCATAGAGAGCACATACATCATGCATGAAAATCTTGGAAAAGATGTAGCAAAGAAAGCTTTCGATGAATATATAGTCTAAAAAGCCCGATCATTACCTGTTAACACCAGGAAGATTCAAAACCACATCGAAGAACTTCTCTAGGACTACTAGCAAAGCAGCTTCAGTTACTGCAGGCTTGGGCTGTGAGACTTCACTTTTTCCAACTGATGCCCCCATATCCGATTCACTCGAGCTTGCAAATCCTTTTGTCGCAACGCTATGTTTCTTGAGAAAAGCGGCCGAGAAACCCGAAGCCCAAACCTGCGGATATAATTTGAAAACGATTCATTAAGCATTTCCATTGTTGTTGATCAAGACAATTACGTATGTGAAACACCCTTAAAGCATCATTGACCTGTGGGTCAGGGGCTGCAACAGGGGCTGAATCCACAATGCAACCTGTGATCCTTTCCATTAAGGAAGGATCTTCCTTTTGGAACTTCTCGAGAATGGCTCCATACCTGCAACAAGACGAAACCCGAAATTCGGTTCAGATAATCAGTGCAAAAAATAAGGCAAAAGTTGTTCTTCATGCATATATGTGCAGAAATTTAGCTATGGTGAGAAACACACATTAACCATCCGGTATTGCTAAAAGTATGAAAAACCAGGTTTTTCCCATGCTCCTCTTCCAACCAATCCGCCAAATGATTAACGAGCATGTCGACGTTCTGCTCGGCTTTGCCACCGGCTTGGTAACCGATAATGTCAATCATTGGAAGGGTGAAAGTAATGACATGATATCCCCTCGAAGTATACCAATCTGCATATCTTTTAAGATGTTTCTGCTTGGATCCTAACCACCCTAACAAGACAACAACCGTCCGGGACTTTACCGATGAACAATCCGATGTACTGGTTATATCGATCGCATTCGGCTCGGGCAAATGCCATCTATACAGAACATCAGGCACCGGGGCAGGGATAGGGACACTCCCTGGAAATGCATCTGCAGGCTTAGATGCCTTGTCCAACTCTGCCAACTGATACAAATTCACCATTAGAGGAGATGAAGCAATAGAAGAACATAGCTGGTCAGGAACGAAACTCCGGTTTGAAACGTTAACCGGAGAGTAAAAGCTCGGTAACGGGACGCGAATTCGAGTAACGAAAGACAGGTTTGCAAGCTTGGAAGCTGATACAAGAGCAACCAATGATGAAGTTGACTCTGGTGAGACACTAGATGTTGAAGTTCCTATTAGTTCCGATGAAAGAGATGGAAGTTTAGCAGAGAAATCAGCAGAAACAGAAGCCATTGCAACGGCAACCGCCGCCATTAGAGGACGTTGAACGGAACCAGACAAAGAACTCATATTGCACAACCAGAAGAGAAACCAAACTATGTCATACAAACAAGAAACAATCCTCAAATAAACACGTTTGGTCTCAAATAATCAACTCCCAGAAGGCCAAAAGAAGATTTCACACACGTTATCAACGAGAATCACCTGCAAAAAAGATAAAAAGAATTCAACTTCCACATAAAAAATGGAATTAGATTAGGGGAAAAAAGCAAGCCAAGGTTGACATATTCCATTTTCAAAGCTTTATAATATTCAAAGATAGAAATTGACTGCCAGACCAGTTGTTGTATAGACAACACAGATGACAGCCCCCATTGACCAAGAACCTGTCATTAAACTAAAAAAGGAAAATTAAACAAAAACAACAACAACGCGTGATTAGACCAGTTTTTTTTTTAACATGAAAAGAATCAATGACAAGACAGGACATGTTTTCCCTAGTCTAAGCCTTCATGCTTGAATAACATGACAGTGATTGATGAATACATGCTGACCAAATCATTCCTATGATTTAGGAACTCCAAGAGGGTGACCTGTGTAATGGCGGGTTTGACCCTGTGACCCAAATTCCAACAGGAACCGAATCAACTCGACCACGGCTCTGGTGGAAGAACACAGTAAACAAAGAAAACGAAGACGAATTCACTGAAAATAATCAGATCTGAATCAATGGGACCCAAAGCCCGATGGCAAAACGAAAACCCAATTCAGAAAAACGAAAGAGCAAACCATAAACAACGCAGATATCAAGAATCAATGGGATTTAATTTAATTCTTTCAAAAAAGAAGAAGAAAAAAAGACATCTGATGAATGTAAAACAGTAAAAAAAAAAAGAGTCGCCTTTCCTTCCTCTCTTTGCCTGCAAATATTATATTTCCTGGATTGTTTTTGCTTGATTTCTCTCGTATATCTGTTTATATAGACATTTAAACTCTTGCGTGATGAACAGCATTAACTTATCTGAGAATTGTCTATCCTGCACGCGTAAATATATATATCTATATTATATTGTATCATAATTAATCTCTTAAGGATTTCAGTTTGATTACCATGAATAGTGATATACTCTTTTTGCTGAATAAAACTGCTAATGTTCTAGTTTTGAAGCTAAGATTTCAAAACATGAAAAATTTTCCTGTATGCGAAACTCAAAATTAAAAATTTGTTTTTCATGTTTTTTTAGAAAATATAGTTGTAAAATTTTTTCACGTATGCTTGCTGCACGCTACATGAAGGTTAATCAAGTTACAATCTTTGCAGGAACAAGTAATCAAGGGGAAATAAGAGAGAGGAGGGATAGGAAATAATTAAGAAAAATTAAAGATTAGGCAAAAATGCATCAACGGTCCCTGTACTTTTCGAACAAAGTATAATGTGATATTTGTATTATTTTTTCTCTCTTAACGTGTTGTATAACTTAGAAAATAAACCCAATGTGGCCTTTTGACAAACATTTTTTCGTTATTAACTGTTACAATACTGACATGGCAATCCAGTGTGACATATTAACGTGGCGATGCCATGGCAGATTGGCTAAATTGGTAACTCAAATATGACAGTCAGATAGACTACCACATCAACATCGTGGACCGTAACGTCAGCATTGTGAACTGGCACGCCAGTACTGTAATGGTCAATGATGAAAAACATTGGTCAAAGGGTCACAATGAGTTTGTTTTATAAGTTGGAGGGTCACATGAGAGAGAGAAAAATAATATTAGAGTCACATTGAGTTTTTTCAAAGTATAAGGACCTCTGATTCCTTTTTGCCTAAAGATTAAATTTATTATTGGATAAACTATGTATTTAGTGACCCAACTATCTCTTTGGTTCTGAATTGATCACTTAACTATTTTTTAAATCATCATTATAGTTACATTTTAATTCCAAATTAACATTCCTTATAGCATATAATTATAACATAGTTGCTCGAACTTGAGTCTTCTAAAATATAACAATTCTTTTACTACTAAGATTACATGATAAATTCACCATTATAACACAATTTAACCTTATTACATTAGTGTTTATATAATTATATAATGCTTTAAATAAATTATAAAAAAATTAACACAAAATTCAAATTATAAAATATTAATACCATATTTTTTTAATTCTTTCATCTATCTCTATAGCATGTTCTACTAAACGGAATCAAATATTCAATAAAAAGTTTTAAAAAAAATTATATTAACGATTGAATTTAATTCAATTAATATATTTATTACTATAATATCTAAGAAGAGGTGTGTTTAAGTGCATTTAAACGCGTAATATTCTCTCTCATTTAAGAATTTAAATAATTTAAATAGTATACAAAATATCTATTTAGATTCCAACCATAATATAAATGAATTTAGATGAAATCTTTTATTATTATTATTATTATTATTATTATTATTATTATTATGAAGTGTTTATAAGATAGTATATGTTTGAAAGATTCTCAATCATTTAATAATGAATGTTCAAATACTCTTACAAAGATGGACGGACGTAATATTTCATATTAGAAGAGGCGAACTTATAAAATTTTAGGGAGTAAAATAAGATTTTAATCGGAAATAAAAAGAAAACATATAAAATATATATGAATTTGAAATTTTTAGAGGAACGACCGTCCCCACCCACCCCCTAGGTCTATTCTTGATTACAAATGTCTTATTTGAACTCAAGATCTCTAAAGATTACAATTATTCCTTCAACCATCAATTTGAATTTATATTAGGCTTAATTATAAAATAAGTGTCCAAACTATCCTTTTTTTCCTACTAGGTGCCCAATTTTTTTGAATCATCGAAGTGCGTAACGTTGCAAACGTTACCACTTTAGGTGCTCCGGTCGTATCTGTCGTTAAATTTTTTTCATTAAGTGACATATGTCACGTTCTGGTAATTTTGAAAAAATATATTTTAAAAAATAAAAATATTATTACATTTATAAAAAAAACTCTAATTTCTCTTAGATTACAAAAAAATCCTAAATCCTTAAAAATCCTAAATCCCTAACCCTAACTCACTAGTGTTGTCCTTGTTGACCACGTCTATTGTCATCGATGTAGACATTGTCGGCTATGGCCGCCGTAGTCCTAGCCATCTTCCTAGTCATATGCTGCCATACTTGTTGTCGATTGATCGTCGGGATCATCTGTGGTTTCAATTTACAACGTCCGGTTCATCGGGGTACACACATCGATTGGTCGTCAATTGGTTGCGGTTTCATAGGGTTATCGATTGTCGGGTGAAGGTTTGTCGACGGCAAATGGAAGCGACCAATGTGGGTCTAAGGGTTGAAATTAAGGATTTCAAAGTTTTAGAGCTTTTTAAGTGTTTCAAAAAAATTAAAATGTAATTTTAATTCTTTTAGTTTTAAATAAAAATTTTAAAAATTACCACAACGCAACATGTGTCACTTAAAAAAGTTAATGGTGGTTACGATCCAGACACCTAAAGTGATAACGTTTATAACGTTAAGCACCTGAATGATTTAAAAAAAAAGTTTAGACTCCTATTTAGAAAAAATGTCTATAGTTTAAACACTTACTTTATAATTAAACTTTTATATTATAATATTTTTATTAAAGAGTGCATAAAAATATAGATTTTAATATTATTTTTAAATAATAAACTCGACTTTCGTATAAATTTAAATCCTGATAAATGATAATCTCTTATATAAGCCAAAGTATAAAAGAAATCTGAGTTGGCGTGTGATCCAATCCGATCTTTGAGCACATGTGAGATGGAATAACCGTGTTTGTCGTGTCGTGTCGTGCCGCCCCATATCGTTTCCTTGATGACATTTGTCCCTTCTAACTGCTTATCTCCAAAACTCTCTTCTTCTCCTTCTCTGGTCCTGACATTTGGCTGCTCCACCTATTCCCAAACGTATCTGTTCAAATCCTTTCTTATTAGGGCTAAATTACATTTTGGCCCTTAAACATTTTACCCCTCTTTATCTCCCCGAATTTTTCTTGTTGTTTGAGATCATCCTACCAAGAAAATCCGTCTGAAATTTCTCTAATTTCCCAAAATTCTTTCTCTCTCTAGATTGTCTTAAGAGAATAACAATACCACCGCTGTCCACTCAAGTTTTGCGTATCATTTTGTGAAGAGACTATTATTCTCATATAACATCGTATAGTACAACGATTACACCAATCGGGACAATTTTGATTCTAAGACTGTTATATTTACAGCGTCATCATATAAACACTACGTAGAACTATTCTTTTTCGGCAAGAAGATTATAGCTTTTCAATAAAAAAATAATATACATATTAAATTTTTTTGCATGCACTTCAATCGGATGGCCTTTCCAGTGACCAAATCGCTTGTAAAAAACAAATACTCTCAATTTTCTATATCAAATATGATAGTTCCTGGTAATAGCAAACACCAGCAAACAACTAATGATCGACTAGAAAGAATAGAACAGTAAAATGTATATGGTTTTCAAGTGTACCTTGTGCTGTTCCTCCTGCCCCACCACTTCTTTTTAACCTTGTCGAGTGCACCTCCTTCGCTCCCGAGTTTATTCAAGACGACTTTCGTTTCTTGTAACCTCGTTGTGTAGTCCTTCTTCCATGTTTCGAACATCTGCTTTAACCTTCTGAGTTCACGGTCCGGGTTCAGGTTTGCTTCGACCTGGCCTGATTTTACTTCCACCAAGAACTTGGCATCGTCGGCGAAAACTTGACTCCTCTGCTCGAATTCCTCCGCCAACCGGCTTATCACACTCAATCCTGCGCCCATTGGTCTCAACCCGTTGCTCTGGGGGGGCCTGTGATTACTTCCTGTGTCCCAGCTAAACTCTCTGTCGTCGCTGGTGTTAATCGATGCATCTGAATTTCTCTCGGAATCATCGACCGCTAGGCTCTTCTTTGCAATGGAGAGACTGGATTGTAGAGACCTCATTTGTTTCTGCCACACTTCTTCCATGGACTTCATTTTTTGTTCGTATTCGGACCAGCGGATGTCGTATTGTTGGAGCCGTTGGTGGAGGATGTCATTTTCCTCTTCTTTCTCCCTGAGACCAGCCTCAGCTCTAAGAACTCGTCGCTGTAGTTCAGCGAGAAATGATGACTTGACCAGCACCTCATCTGATTCATTTGCCTGCATCAAATTCTATAATCATTTCGTGTCTCAAATCAAACAATATGACATCAGTAGAGCACAGATAAAATCAGAAACACAAACGATCAAAGAGCTGACGGAACGATCTGTACAAATGTTTGGAAAAATATTGACTTTCTTTTTGCAAGATCGACCGGCCAATATTTCCCGAGCTGTGTAACTGACTAATGAGTCTATATTGAACTAAGAAAAGTTTGTAAAAAAGAACATTTGGTAT